TGCAGCCATAGATATATTGTCACGAATGACAGATGATGTGGCGACGAATGAACAGAAACTAACCGTGTAATTTGGCGAACGTGTGCCGAAAACAAACATACAGAGGTAGCGCCACAGGCGTCGCGGGTCGGCGGAGTAGCACGATCGAGCACAAAACCGAGACTGACTGCATGCGGCTCGACGATCGGAGCCATTATGTACACGCGTGGAGAAGGAACAGTTAGGTAGATAATTCGGACCGCGAAGAAGCCATCAGGATTCTCGAATTTACGAGAACGCGACATTTACAAAAAGAACAAAAAGTTACGTCCGCTCGCAGGAATCGAACCTTGGCCCTTTTCAAAAGAGCTAAGCATGATAACCGTATGGCCACGGACGCGCTTGCTCGTAAACGCGGGGGGCATTACTCCCCCCTTTAAAAAAAAAACATCGTCTCAATGTTATGTGTAAGAAAACAAAACAAATCAACCCAAACAAAAAAAAAAGGGAAACTGCGGAGGCTGGAAAAACACGTTTTTTTTTTAGCGTAGTACAGGATCACAGTTCACAGTCTTTCCGAGCGTAGTACGGCTTGAGGTCCACGACGTGGACAACTTTGAGTTGTGGTGGGCGGCGTGATGACGTACTTCTCCTGTCGGCTATCAACTCGTAGCTCAAGTCTCCCAGGCGGCGGAGTACTTTGTAGGCTCCAAAGTAGGGCTTCAGGAGTTTCTCGTTTAGACCGCGTCGTCGTATCGGGCTCCAGACACACACACGGTCTCCCGTCTTGAAGTGAACGTCCATCCGACGAAGGTTGTACCAGGTAGCGTCGACACGTTGTTGATCTTGAATCCGAAGTCTGGCGAACTGGCGAGCCTCTTTTGCCCGTTGAGCAACGACGTGGCCGTCGTCACTGTCGTCGTGACCGGGCTCGCGTGGTAGCATGGAGTCGATCATCGTCGTCGCCTTTTGGCCATGCACCATCTGAAACGGCGTCACTCTTGTGGTTTCTTGCACCGCCGTGTTGTAGGTAAACGTGACGTATGGAACATCTTGTTTCACTTTTTGTGCTCTACGTCGACATACATGAAGATCAGTCGGCGATGGTTTTGTTCGGGCATTCTGTTAGTACATTTGTGTGCGGATGGTACCATGGTAGATAATGGGTCGCGACAATTATCATCGGTTTCCTTGTGTCAATGGTGGTAACGGTCCAAGTAAATTCATTCTGACTTGCTGAAATGAGGCAGATGGCGGCGCGATAGGCTGAATATGTCCTGCCGGTCTCGTCGGTGCCTTCTTCCGTCGTTGACACTCGTGGTAATATCGGGTGTTGTGATGAACTTTCTTCGCAAACTTGGGCCAGTAGTATTTCTCGTGTATCCTGGCAAGAGTCCTGCTGTAGCCAAGCTGTCCTGCTTTCGGGTCATCGTAGCAGGTTTGAAATATCTATTTAAAAAAAAGAAAATGAAAGGGATCGCCAACAACCATGCCGCGTTGTCGTCGCTGAAATTCTCCTTGTACAGCACACCTTGTCGGATGAAGAAAATCGCAAGTGTTTGTATGAAAACGCGGGGAATCGCACTTCCTTGTCCCTCTGGGGGCTTGTTGATTTCTCGCAGTTCATGATCATCTCTTCGGAGTGCTGTCATGTTACTGACATCTGGTGCACCGAGAAAACACTCGCCATCGTCGTCTTCGGTGCAGGCAGGACCGGCCTTGACGCAGGTCCTTGAAAGACAATCGGCGTCGCTATGATTTCGGTCGGACTTGCACACCACGGTCATGTCAAACTCCTGCAGTCGTAAACTTTCTCGGGCGAGGCGTCTTGAGTTGCTCTTCAGATTCGGGAGCCAGCAGAGCGTGTGGTGGTCCGTAACCACTCGGAACAGACTTCCGTACAAGTAAGGGTTAAACTTGGTGATGGGCCAGACGACGGCGAGGCATTCCTTCTCCGTCGTAGAGTAATTACCCTTCGCCTTGGACAGTGTCTGTCTAGTCGATTACCCGCTCTTTTCCTTCCAGTATTTGGACCAGCACCGCGCCAAGCCCCGTGTTACTTGCGTCCTTGTGCATTTCTGTTTCTGCCTGCTGGTAGAAATGGAAAAGGACGGAAGGTGTTTGAAGTCCTTGTTGAAGGTCGTCGAACACCCATTGGTGCTCTTCAGTTCCCTGAAACTTTACGGCATCTTTTGTAAGGTATGTCGGTAGCGCAGAAAGCTTCGCGAAATCTCGAACGAAGCGCCTGTAGTAGGCACGAAGGCCTAGGAAACTTCTTGCATTCTTCTTGCCCTACGGCGGGGAAAAAGCTGCCACGGCGCGCGTCTCCTCGAGGTCTGAACGAACACCTTCGTTGCTCGCGACATGGCCTGGGCAGTTGAGCTCATCATAAAAACCGACATTTCGTTGGCCTGAGAGTTAGTCCAGCGCCCTTGATGGATTAAAGTACGACACGGAGTCGTCGTAACTGCTCTTCGAGGTTGCTGGCGAACACCACAATGCCGTCGAGGTAGACGAGACAGCTCTGCCATTTTGAGCCTGCTCGCACGGTTTCCATGACAAGCTGGAAGATCGCCGGCGCTGTGCATAGTCCGAAGGACATCCCTTGAAATTTGTAGTTCGTCGGGCGTGACGAAGGCAGCTTTCTCCCGGTCCCGCTCGTCAACTTCGATCTGCCAGTAACCACTCTTCAAGTCAATCAACGAAAAGTACCGGGAGTGGTGCAGACGGTTGAGAGTATCGTAGGTGGGGGAAGTGTGTTGACGTCTTTTCTTGTCATGGCATAGAGTTGACGATAGTCCATACAGTAGCTCAGGGTTCCGTCCTTCTTTACGAGCACGGCTAATGAAGCCCATGGACTGCTTGACGGCTGGATGATGTCCTCGTTCAGCATTTCCTGAACCTGTTTTTGTATTACTTGTCTCTCTTTCAAAGAGACACAGTACGGTGACTGGTGTACTGGACGCACGTCGCCGTCGGTAGCGATGCGATGCTTCGCCACCGGTGTTTGGCGAACGTTCAACGACGTGGTAAAACAGTCACTGTATTCAGTTGGAAAACAACCAGTTGCCGGCGCTTTGGAGCTCGGAGCTTGGAGATGACGTCGTGCTGCGGTGGCGACGTGCTTTTGTGGTGTGACGACGAGGTTTTTTCGGAGATTGCGGTGACCACGGCTGGCGCTTGAAGCTCATCGACGCGGCCCACGGCGGTACCTTCCGTTAGGTGCTGCGGCTCCTCTCAAAAGTTCGTGACGAGAACAGTTGTACGTCCCTCTTAGAAATCCGTTACGCCTCGTGCGACAGCAATTCTTTAAATAATTAAAAGCGCCGAATACGACAAGGACAAAGAAGTGGAACGACACAAGGCGCACTCGCAACTGTGGTTTATTTCGACAAGTACATGCATTTACAGGCCCCAGAACCCTGTCAGTCATCAGCGTGCCCCTCGCAACGCTTCTTTCAAATATTTAAACTCACTCTTTGACAGAGCGAGTGACGCTGCATTTACACACTCAACGCCCTCATCCCTAATTGCATTCGCTCGTGCACCTCTCTGCTTGTTCGGTCGCGATAACGAGCCAAAATCTTAATGTCATGTACCACTGGCGTTCACGGGCATCTATTACAATGAATGGCGAGATGGCAAGACGGGCTGGCTCGCGTGGCCCTCTGTCATGCGGCGCTGTGTACATTGGGCAGAAGGACAGATGTGTGAATGACCGCGCCCGCGCGCGAGCATGCGGCTGCCACGCGAACCAGCCCGTCTGGCCATCTCGCCATTCATTGTAATAGATGCCCGTGTACGCCAGTGCTACATGACATTAAGATTTTGGCTCGTTATCGCGACCGAACAAGCAGAGAGGTGCACGAGGCGTATGCAGTTAGGGATAAGGGCGTTGAGTGTGTAAGTGAAGCGTCACTCGCCCTGTCAAAGAGGGAGGGAATATTTGAAAGAAGCGTTGCGAGGGACACGCTGATGACTGACAGGGTTGCCTATAAATGCATGTACTTTTCGAAATAAACCACAGTTGCGAGTGCGCCTTGTGTCGTTCCACTTCTTTGTCCTTGTCTTTTTCGGCGCTTTTAATTATTTAAAGAACCATAAACCAACTGGCTCAACTTTCCACTTTGCGACAGCAATTCCTTCTTCAAGGAGCAGTTGGACCCTGCCTTCCAGAAGAGCTTCACCGCACATGGCTGCGTCGGTTATGATAGGCACGAAAACACTTGACCACTGCGACAGATTCACATGGTCGAAAACTCGGATGCCAAAAATAGTGAAGATAGCACTAATGCAATATTTATTAATACTAATTAGAACCTATGGGACGTCTATATATTGATGACAGCTCCGTCATTTTTTTTCATTTAGTCCTGTGGAAAACTTCTGAAATATCTCGTATTTATGCCCACCATAAGGAAAAACGACAATATTCCCGTTGTAAAGGCGTTGAGCTCCTACACGCATCTAATGTAAAGTTACTTTTTTTAATAAAAACGCCTTATTCCTCAGGATAAAAAACGGAAAGGAAATGCCCCATAACATATAATTCTAACCGTAGATGAGTGACGACAAAGGGGTCATGGGACAAACAACTTCTCGCCAATGTGCCTAGGTATAGCCTTAAGGCACATGCCTGGCCTTATCGTTTGTCTTTGTGTTTAATAGAGACATTTTCACATGGTTGAGGGCTTGCCGCTACAGACAAGTGCAGACCAAACTGCCACTTAACCATGTGCATCCAGCATTGCCCACCAGGGTTTCTAAGTTGGACACTCGGCAAGAGAGTTGGCGACATTGCCGACCACTGCGATTGGCTAGCGTGGCGCTTGACCTTGGCCCTGGCCAACCGCAGCCCGGCGCTGACCCATCGCGGCGGTCGGAGATTTTTCCCACTTGCCCACCGAGTGTACAGCTTAGAGCCCCAGAACACGCATAATGAATGAGTACAGCGTCTCGTTCTTTCATTCCAGCTAACCTGGCCTTAGCAAAACGAACGCTGGCATCCTCTCCCGACAGCCATGGGTACGTTCGCCGGGCATGCGCTTCCAGGGACTTTCTTGTTCCTCCTTGGCACTTGGTGGACCTTCGGCGCCTGGCGCGTCTACATTCTCAGGAGACGTGGGCATCGAAACTATTCGTGCACCGCTGCGTTCACCTTTCCCAAGCTTCCAGAAAGACTCTGTATCGAAGGACTCGCAAAGGTAGTGTCAGCGTGTGTTGGTGTAGCAGCGGAAGTAGCCACAGGCTTCAAGCACGGTAGGTTCACAGAAATAGGTAACGCTCAGCACACATCGATGTATATCTTCTACGGTCTCAGTGGCTTGGCAGACATTCTAACCGTCCACAGGGCTCCCATACCGCGTGGAACTGACTACGGCATTCTCTTGATGACTGTTTGCGTCGAGGGGCTTCTGTTTTATTTCCATCTTCATGGCAGGACACAGCTGGACGTGCTTGTACATACGCTGCTTGTCTACACCATCGTGGCGGAAGCGGCGTGCATCGCAGTTGAGATGGTACAACGACGAAGTACCTTAGCCGCTTTGGGAAGGTCGTTCTTTGGAGTCATGCAGGGAACGTGGTTCTTCCAAATTGGCTTCATTCTCCACAATCCGCTGCCCAACTCCAGACCGTGGGATGAGAACCATCAGAACATGATGTGGGCGGCTGTTTTCTACACGTGGCACATGATTGGTGTTATGGTGCACGTAGGACTAATGGGCGTCTTTGCGTGGCTGTGGTGCATGTGGTGCGAGGGTTTCGATAAAACTGAAGACGTGTGCTACAGTTTGGTGTCAACTCGGCCTCAGATGATGGAGTCTGACGCTGGGGACAAACCCAAGACTGACCACCGTACTGAGAGCGACAACGAGATTTTCTCCTAGTTTAATTTTCAGCGAGGCACGCTACTTCTTCCGCGAAAGAAGAAAACGATGTTAAGATTTGTGGAGCACATCATTCAGAGCTTTCTTCGCTTAATAAAAGACCGTCAATGATTTTCATGGATCAATTGTCTCATAAAGCATTTGTCAATACCTCTTGATGGCCAGTATGCTTTACGTTATCTTTTCTTTTTTTGTCCGCACGAAAACGTATGCAACAAAAATAAGCTGCCGGTTATGCAGCTTTGTATACAGTTAACATATGGCTGCAATTTTGCTTCAGAAATATTACTTAGACCAACCTGGCAATGTATGGCAGGTGGGGCGAGGTAAAAATAAATAAGCCGCTTCCGTCGTAATGAAATGAATTGCGTTGAATACTGCTAATAATAAAGCTGTACCAGAACTGTCATGGCATAAAGATATATTACTTTTGCTCGTTGTTATCCTTCGTTTGCGAGGCTGCAAAGTCAGAGAGGGCATACTGTTTACAGCTGGAAGGAAAGGCCATTTGTTATTTGAGAAAAAAAACTAACGTATCCGGATGCTGAAACGTCGTATTTTTCGCCCCAATCTGCAAATAAACGAAAGCTGTCGCGCGGTCGCCTCAATGCGTACGGAATGGTGCCGTGACGTACCTGAAGACGGAGCTGCGACGCGGTTAATTCTCGTAGGGATCCTCGAAGGCGTAAGCGCCGTGGAAGTTTCTAAAACCATACAACATTACGCGGAGCAACTGGATATTGCCAAAGTGGGATTTCGTGTAACGCGAGTAATGTTTGAAAACAGGTGTTTGAAGCAGACGAGAGGAAGACTCCATCTCGTCGTTACTGGCAGGACGCCGGGCCTCACCTCGCTTCTCCCTTCTTGCTGCGCGGCCGACGGGTAAACCCCGACTTCCCTCTCCTCGCGTCTAGAGGCGAGAGAAGAAGGTTTTTTTTTCTTTTTTTTCATAGCGGCGGCGATTGTACACGAGCTTGAAATCTCTGCAAAGTTTTAAAATAGCATTGCACCTTACCAATAGTGCCTGGAACGAACCTCCAACTAATATGTTTACCGCACAAAGAAAAAAAAATGCTCCCTCGATTTCCGTTTGATGACGACATAGAAGTGTCATGCTGTCGCTTGACGGGATCCTGGCGGAGTCACAGCAGCGGTAATGGATGTAACAGACGCCTGTTCTGCTGCAGGTCGCACTCCGGCGGGGCAGTTCACGGAAGCTTTAGCAGCCAGAAGTTGGGACGCCATGACGACAGCGACACTTTGCGTTCGCTCGTGGTTTTCGCCAGCATATTTACGCCCGACCGACAGGATCTCGATATCTGACAGCATGGCAGTCGGGCTTATTTGACGGTCTATGTAGCAACTTAGGGACCACTTTTGCTGGATGGACGGGATAGGGCGCTAAATTACACCAGTCGGAGTCGCGTTCCAGGCGCCATACCTCAACTGTCATCGGCAGCATGGGATCACTCGTCGAGTTGTCGTTGATGTCGCTCGTCGCTAGGCTGCCTGCATGCAGGAAGTGCCACTCTAGATGTAGCAGAAAATTTTAGATAATATTTAGAAACCAGCGAAATAAGCTTTTCACGTCATACTCGGTGATAGTAGCAAAAAAGAAAAAAAAAAGAGAGGCGTTTACAGTTTTTTGTAACGCCGAATTAGAGTGCAGCTCTTCAGGAGCAGGGGGGGGGGGGGGGGTACGTAGGGGAGGGTATGACCCTCCTCCCCCTCTCCTCATCCTCTTCTGCCCCTCTCCCTTTCAGCGGGAAACTTTCGCTAAATTTCCCGCTAAATTTAGCAAAAATTTCCCTCTGATTTTAGCGGGGAAACTGAATTGGTGTCTGAGGCCACGTGACGCCAATTTTCCCGCTGAATTTAGAGGGGGAAATGTTTTTGCTAAATTTAGCAAAAAGTATTTCCGATAAATTTCACGTGACGTCCCATTCATTCACATGACGTCACGTGCGACTTCACGTAGCAACACGACTCACGTATGGCTTCACGTGACGTCATGTGTGACGTCACGGAGGTAAAATTTTCCCACTAAATTGGCGGGATATTTTTTTCCCCAAATTTAACGGGAACATTTTCCCGGGTTGGGTGGCGTCAGGTCCTCTAACGCAACGCGCGGTTACGCTGACGGCGACGCCGCTCCAGCCGAAACGGGCGCCTAAGAACTGCGCCCTAAAATTGAAAGACGTTTACAAATCTATGTAATGCGAAATCAGAGCCCAGCTCTTGAGGTATTCTGATTTTGCGAATTGCCTTGACGGGAGGGTACGCAGGAGGAGGAGGGCAGGGTACAAGGAGGAGGGGAGGGTACGCAGAACTCTCCCCTCCTCCTCGATCGTCCTTCTCCCCTCCCTCCTCCTCCTTCTCCCTTCGTCCTCGTCCACCCATTCTCCTTGTCCTCCTCCCCTCCTCGTCTTCCACCTCCCCTCCTCCCACAGTCTTCCAGCTAAATTTAGCTGGAAAATTGACGCCACATGACCTCAACCCCAAATCAGTTTCCAAGCTAAATTTAGCGGGGAAAATGACGTCACTTGACTTGTTGTCACGTCATTTATGAACAAATTCAGTTTCTCCGCTAGATTTAGCGAGAAAATTGGCGTCACATGACCTCACCACCAATTCAGTTCCCTCGCTAAATTTAGCGGGGAATTGAATTGGTGTATAGGTCTGTGACGTACCGTAATGCAACGCGCGCGGTTACGCCGACGGCGATGGCGACGCCGCGAAACACGGGAACGAGCGCCTAATTGTAGGTTCACACTTGCGGATCCGCTAGCGAATCCGCCTAGGTTTTACCGCCGAGGCGAAACCCTGGGCGGAAAACGCGGCGGTGAGCCGTATATATTTAGGATCTATTTCTGCCGCCGATCGAGGCGTTTCGCTGACCGGAAGTGACATTCTTGCGCAGCGCGACGCTGCCTACGTCACGAGTACGCGTTCTTCCTGTTTGTTTTTGGAAATGGTGCATGTCGACAACATCAAAGACATCCAGCGACGCTGGATGTCTTTGCATTCCAAATTCACTTACTCTCAGTAGTCATACGGGCGAAGACAAGGAAGGAGGCAGCTTGTTTGCCCCGTCCTTTCGCGGTCTCGCAAGCATGGGCGAACCCACAACCGCCGACGGCGACGCTACTTTTTCGGTGCTCGTTGCTCCTTTTCCTACATCGCAAGCAGGGAATAGGACAGGAGAATCACCGCAATCTTTTCCTCTTTGTTTACGTAATCATCCATCAGCTTAGTGATGTTTTTCTCCGTTTGGGACGCAGCTTCAACGTGAAGCTCACGACTACTTGTCGAGCCAAAAACACCGAAACTGGGGAGCAGCAACGACCGGGAGACACAGCCGAGGTGGGAACTCTCGTGCCTTCTCGTCATATTTGACGGGATGTTACGAGAACAGCTGGGCCGCAGCCTAAATATACTATAAATATAGAAATAGATGTAACGAAGTAACCCTCGGGGCTACTTTGTTAAATATATAAATCAAATAATTAAAAATAGGAATCCAATAAGTACTCGATTTCAAGTAATATTCATGAATCGTAATGTGCACCGTACAGGTCTGGCGACAGCTTAAAAAAACCCAGGGCGTAACCAGCTTCTAATTATCGCACTGTGGCCAATGATATTACGGCATTCGCAGATACGAATGCCAACGAACCAATCACAAAGCACGAAGCGTGATCAAACAAAGCCACGCCCTGCGTTTCTCAGGCTGTCGGTGATTCCGTGGAGCTCAATTTTTTGTCTGCTTCTAGTGGAGGTTTTGCGGTGATGTCCGAAAGCACGCGTGCTCTGATTGGCTCGATTGGAAGGATAGTGGGTACACCTCGAGGCAACTACAGCTTTGAGGCGCACCGCAGTCCTTCAACTCTGAACCAGTCGGAGCTGGGCGTTCTGACGTCACCACAACCCCTGCGCAAGGTGCAGACGAACTTGCGCTACGTATAGGCAGAATTGTTGGACTTGCAGACGGGACGCATTCAGCAAAAGTAATCGTAGCAGTGCGCTACATATCGCGCGCGCGCCAGTGCATGATGAATGCCGTAAAGGTATACCGTAGTCTGAGGGAAGAGATCACATGTTTTGTCCCGACGCGACAGCAAAATCGCTCGCCTAAAAAAAAGAAAAAAACAACACTACAGGCACATAGAACAGTAACAGGAAACAAGTTCAGAATGCAGTAAATGCGAGCCCCGAAAGCTGGCATTGAACATTGCGCGCGGCACGATTACCATCCGCGCGGTTTAATTCGTAACAGTTGTCGACCGTTCAGGAAAGCCGTACCGGTGAGTGATAGACTGAGCTTCAATGGAGAGCAATTTTACGGCAAGAAACATAGATGTGTCCGTACCAGCGAATTTGGAATCATGCACTTTTGTCGGCGGTATTCAAGGTGCCTTGGCACGCCGACTGAAAAACGTTTATCAAGTTGTGTACCTAAAGTCACTATTGCGGGCCCAACTCTGGAAAGTGCAGCCCTATCTTTGGTGACTCCTTTGTCATAGGCCTTTACAAAACAAAACGACCAGAGAAATTCACGAAGCTTTCTTGATTAGGTCCCACCACGACAATTCGTGTGTAAGCGCTCCCTCTTTGTCCTTGTCTGATAAAGAGTTCTACTATTTGAAGAACCAATGATGCGGGCATGTGAGGGGGGGGGGGGGGGGGGGGGTTTAGACCATATCTTTGTGTTCTTCCAAGCGTGCCTGCTTTTATATTTTTAAAATTGTGTCATCGAAATAAACAATTCGGTTCAAAGTTACGCCGCTTCCTTTCCAGTTCTCCCTTCGTTTTCGTCCTTGTTGTTTTGGCGTATTATACCATGGAGGGCATTATACAGCTTGAGAACCTCGGGGCGTGGCTTGTTGTACTCACGATATTTGCTTCGTGATTTTTCATTTCACGATCTTATCGCGATCGTCGCGAGATTATTGGCTGCGGATTGACAAGAGAAGGCTGGAAATTTATCACGCCCGGCGTTT